TACAAGATAGGGTTCAAGTGAACCAGAAGAACAGGGGGGCACAGGAAGAGAGATAAAGTGAAAAAACACAAGGTGGAGGGGGGGCACAACACAACGGGGGGCACCCCCGAGCATTCGACTGCAACAGTCAGCCGAGACCAAACCACGACACTGTACCGTCGACGCAATCGAAAGGCGCCAGCCAACCAGGACTGCACAACGCTGCGACACTACCGATGTCATGGGGTACAGACTGCACAACGCCGCGACACCACATGTGTCATGGGGTACAGAACGCGATACTATTTACTCCGTGGTTAAATAGTTTGGGGCTTGGGGTCCCTAATATTCAGGGGATTACCATCTGCCTACTAGGATTTTGGATCAAAAGTTACTCTGAGTTGATCTGTGAGGAGTAGTTGACCATTAGTGTGGATTCATTTCATGGCACAGAGCAAAAGGACATGACATTTTGGCAAAGTGTGCATGATTGGTTTCATGAACAGAAGTGATCCATGTCCGTAATAAAGTCGCTAGCCCATCGATGTTACATCATTCAAGAAGACTTAGTTAGTCCTAACAAGTGCAAAACCGTTGGCCAAATGGCACATCACTCCTTGAGCTTGTAAGTTTCGTGGCTTGTTGCTCTATAGCTACAAGGAAGAAGTTTGAGGACATCATGACCAGAAGGCAGAGCTAGGTGCCAAACCCTACGAGGTCAAAGAGGAAAAGAAGGCGGAAAGGTTTGGCATGTTCATGGACAAGTAAAACAAGAAGCTCAATCTCGAGGAGAAGAAGCTTATGATGAATGCGATTATCGAGGAACCCAAAATGTTTATCTTGAAGGCGCCAGACTTGAATCCTGATGCGGCCAAGTATGTGCAAGATCACTGTGCTACCATGTTGAAGCTCTTAGTGCAAATGGATGGTGAAAAAGAGGCCAAAAATTAAGGCCTTTGACACGGACAACTAGACTTGGAGTTTTTGGGATCGATGGATGTAAAAACTGGTTGAACATCTGGTGCTTTTGGTTGCGATTGCATATATTTGCAGCTATTTAAATGTATGGTTAAATTACGACTGATGTAGATATCCATATTAAAGGGGAAACCGGATAAATGACAAATATTTGATGCCTACGGTTGAACGACCGATACCCTGTCTACTATCCGCGAACAGGTTCAAACGTATTATGTGGACATTTGGTGATATCCATTTAACACATCTCCAAAGCGGATCTGCAAATCGTCCATAAATATACGGTCCGAACACTTTTGGACATCCAACAATGATTGTTTGGTGCCTATGATTGAATGACCGCCCCTACTTTCGTTTTGTTTGTTTGGGAGTTGGGTTAGAGTTGGATGGATGCTTATATTTTTCGACATCCAACAGAACGTTTATATTTTTCTTCTATTTTCCGTATTTTTTATCTTCCTTTTCTTTTTCTCTTTTTCTATATTTTCCTTAAATTTTTACACCAAAACACCCCCACAAGGCCGAAACGCAACGCAGGCCGGCCCACTCATATATGGCAATAATCGCTCTATCTCTCTATCACTTCTCCAATTTCTCAAAAATCTGGTGGGCGCTGCGATCGCGAGGCTTCTTCGTTTTTGTTGATCCGTCGGTGTCGGCATTTTTTCTTTTGCTTTTCTCTGTCGTTTCTTTTGGGCGTGACTGTACTGCTTCCGCCCCAGCATCTATCCATGTATTGTTCGGTTGGTTGCTTTGTATACAAAGCGGGGAAACCCTTTTTCGGTAATCGGTAATTTCTAAAAAAAACTTCTCCAGTTCCCTCAAAAGAAAATAAAATTTCGCCAGTTCGCCCTCTTCTCTCCCAGCCTCCCAGCTCCCACCGCGCCTCCCGCCTCGACAAATCCCCCTGCTCCCGGCCGTCGCCGCCACCATCTGCTGCCGGCTGTGCGCCCCTGCTCCCGGCCCCGGCCGCCATAATCTTCCTCCGGCAGTGCGCCCCCCGCCATCTCCACTTCCTGAACCATGCGATGCGCGTGGCAATCTCATACGAGAGCTGCGCGCGGGCCGCCCTCCTGGTGGACGACCACGAGCCACACGGTCGTCGCGAGCATGAGCCCTGATCAGATGTGCTGAATGTGGCTAAAGTTCAGGTTGAACTGGCTGCAAATTTTAGCGCATACCAGCCAGGTATGATGCTTTTCGCATATCAACTTAATGTGTCGCTTTACTGATTAGCTGAACCTAGATTATATATCCATTATTCCTAGAGAATGCATAGCACGGTATTTGTCAGGATGGATTTACAAATTAGCTGAAGTCTCGTGTGCTCGCTGAACCTGGTATGAAACTAAACAGAAATCTGAACATAACAAACAGGTGTAAACATCTTAAAGTGTTGTTTTATCGGACAATGAACAGAGTCAGCACCTCTCCTGAACAGAAAGCAAAATGATCTCTGAATAAATCCACACTGCACGTCGACATATGGTTCACCAAAATGTAACCTCGGATTTGTGCCAAATACTAAAATCCAGTGCCAAATCAAATACACAAACCAGAGTTCACTGCACAAACGTGCATCTGCTAAGAAGTTGTCGATTGACCTCAGTTCGCGTGAAAGTTGTCCATTTCCTAGTACGTCCCTCATATGGGGTTTTCATTGCTGTCCTCACTAGCAAATGGTTCATCTTCATTGTCGATGGCCATGATTGACACTGTGTACTCTTGTCCGATTACAATCCTAAAAGATAAAGTTATTTAGTATTATGCGTTTGGCATCACAAGAAATGGTAATGATATTAAAAGGTGTGGCGCATCCTATAAAAAAGGCAGAGTGCACGCATATACGATGCAGAGGTTGAAGATTAAGTATCTTTCATCAAGAAAATAAACATCCTATTCGAACAAACTACAACATTGCCAATCCTTATTCAATCAGAATTTCCGTAAGCCCTGGTCAGATCTCATACGAACTTAGCCTACAAATTCACTCTTTTTTTTGTCTTGGTGCCAAAACTCTATTGTGTTTTACTATGTGACAGAGATCCAACAGTTGTCCGTCAACAAAACAAAACAAATAACATGAAGTTGGTTACCTTCTTGACCCCATGAAACATCCGAGACCCCAAATAGCTCCACCAGAGCCAAAGTTAACGATTCTCTCCAGCCTAGGAACCATGCAGAAATCACTTGCAAAAAAGAAAACCAAAAACATCAGTAAGGAGCAGAGGTGAGAGCAAAGTAAACATGGTTCATAAGGCTAAATTTCTTTTGTTTTGTGTGGCAGCTGGAAGGTTTGGGTTGTGTGAGCGTTAAGTGGCAAAAGCATGTTTGAGCCTGTTTTTGTTTCTTGGATGCTGTATTGTTTGATAGTGGAACTTGACCCGAAAGTCGTATGAAAAAGTGAATATGTGCAAACTAGGCACCTATATATCACATCTAATACCATATTAAGTCATGAGGATGTTAATAGTTCAAAAAAGCTCAGCCAATATGATACCTGAATTCACTGGAGCTCCAGAAATGAACAGAGCCATCTCTTGAACCTGTAATTAGATATGAGCTATCGGGAAAGGCCATGACAGAAATTACTGGAGACACGAAAGCTTGTATCGTATGAACACAAGCCTTTTCCTCCATGTCCCATATCTGTTGGACAACAAAAGCGCACACACTATTATTAGCAATGTTACACTCGTATGATACCATTGTATTTGTCAATGATAATGGCATACCTTAGCTGTGTGGTCATCAGAGCCAGTAATCAAATATTGTCGATCATTACATGTGAAGAAATTGAGACAGTTCACTTTGTCCTGATGCCCAGACAAAGTATATTTTGATTCAGGAGAATCGATGCTCCAAACCTGAACATCAGGTATACGAATTGCAATTAAAGGTTTTTGGATTCCGAGAGAATTATTATTCTCCAAGTCCCTCTATCATACGGTGTACATGCCAACAATTAAGCTACTGGAGCCAAACTGATCAGTTGGCAAAAAGGAGAAACCCATATATACCTTTACTGTGTGATCATCTGAAGCACTTGCAAAGATATTGGAGTCCACTGGGTTAAATGCGACTTGCTGTATAGTATCGGAATGTTCCTGCACGAATGATTGTGTGCAGTCCCAGCCGTTGTCCCAGTCCCAGAGCTTCATATCACGATGAGCCGATGACAATACATATGGATGGGTTGGATGGACGGCCATTGATGTGATGAAGCAATCACTGGCGGCTCTGAAACTCCTGAGTTTTTGTATTTTGTTGTCGTAATTGTACACATGGATCACACCATCAGATGTCCCAGCCACAAACCATTTCTTTCTTGAGATAACCTTAACAGAATGAACTGTATTGAGAAGAGTGATCGTCGTATTAGCATGCAGTGTATGATGATGGGAAATTAGGGAACTTGGTAAACAGAGGAGCCAGAAAGATAGGCTTGCCTTTATTAGACAATGAGTAAGAAGGCATGATTGACTCCTTTGAGACATTAAATGAATCTGTCCGTCTCTGCCGGTAAATATAAATGACAGTGTCAGTTGAATGCAGACCGAGTTTTCATTTGCTAATACAAATTGAGCTTTTGTGTGATATGCATTTGGCAACAGTAATCGGAAAACCGTCATGGGAAAATACATCGTTACAGCCGGTACCATCCGGTATCACCAAAAGGAAAAACATCACCCTTCTTCGATGACAATAAACTTCAGTAATCGCCAAAAATAATGTGTGTGAACTGTAAGCACATGGTAGTATGTAATATAGAAGATAGCATGCATTAACTTGCCTGCGGGTCATAGTTCCATACGCAAACATCTCCGTGCTGATGACTTGTTACAATGCTGTGTGACAATAAGATATTTATCATAATCCAGATTCATTTGAACGGAGGGAATTATTCTGGTGCCCATATTATATATGCCATGCACTCACCATGGCTCGGTGGTCTGTGCATCAAGGGAGCACAGCATGCCATGAGTATTCTTCAGGGATATGATCCATTGATCCTGATCCAACAGAAGACAGGGTCAGCATTAGAAAGAAAAAAGTAGCTCAAAATTGGAGCATGTATGCAGGCAAAAAGAGAACTCTGTACCTTTAGTCTTCTTGAGATTGTCGGCTGCATCGCATGTAGTACCAATTAATAAGATCAGTAAAGCAAATGCATGAAAGGGAAGATAACAAAAAGATATATCAGGGTACAATAGCATAATTCCAGTAGCTTAGCTCTTAGACCATTGCAGAGACGGACATTACATCTTGTTCGAATGGTAAATATTCCGAATTATATTGATTAAAAATGACTGACCTCTGATGTTGTCGGTCCTTGCGAAGCAAAAACAGTTTTCAGCATCACCTCACACACTGCATTCCCTGACTCTTTAGCTTCGTCGAAAAACTTGTCATACTTAGATTGGTCCCTCAAAGTAGGGATGCTTTTATCCCCTGATAGACTACTCTGCAGGATCAGATCGCACTCCGTTTCTTCTGGTAGCGTCTCTTGTTGTTGTGCTGTAACAACGAGAGTGTAAGTAGTGGACTTGGGAGGTACAATTCCATATACTGGGAGACTTGCGAAGCAACGCCAAGGCTTGGTGCTCTTCTTCATAAGCCTGAATACTGCATGTTCATCTGTGTCGGGTTCGACAGGGAAGTGAAGCTCGACAAGGTAGACGTCAAGTAGATCCTGCAGAACAACAACTCATGTTAAGCGAATATTGTAGAGTTAACTTCTCGATGGATACTCCATATGGATGTATCAAATTTGGTCAAGGAATTCTATAACAAGGGAAATATTTTTCGTTTGCATAACTAACTTGACCTCATCCAAAAGCTACGAGCAACCAACAACAAAAGTAAAGGGAAAACACAAAAGCTTAAATTTTAAACATACCATTGTTCCCGTGCTTTCTGTTTCAGTAAGCCTATCAACTACATATTGCGTACTAGTTGGCCTTCTCTTAGGACTGCGTTCAGTGCACTGTAATGCTATCTCGGTGCATACTCTTACTTGTTGTCTCTGTGATTTCTCCAACCTATTGCTCCAACTTTCAAGTACCTGTAAATTTGCAATTATGAATTAGCATTTCTTTTATATAGATAACCCTTTCATTAATGCATCAAGATAATGTATAGGACACCGGAGTTGGCAACAAAAATACGTCAAAGGGATGTTGAGGAGGCACACACTAAAAAAAGAACATAAAAAGAGAGAGAGAAGAGAAAAAGGAAAAGAAAACATTATGGCTTCAACAATAATTTGCAACTCCAACCTCCTATTTCTTGAACAACACCAGGCATCGAAAAAGGTCCTCAACGCAAGGCCTTCAACAAGGAAACAACGTGTCTATGTCGTCATTGTCATCAATCCACTAAAGGTCAGATCAGGATTTTCATCAAGAGACGTCAAAAGAATTCTAAGCACCGTCTTTGACAAAGAGACAACACATGCGTCGTCATTACCAGTGCAACCAGTTAAGGCATGACCTAGAGTTAATATTTAAAAGGCAGCATCATTTGAGATTAAAAAACTGAATAGGTATATTATATTATGTGAGTAGGGTGTTTTGGAGCTCGCGCTCCATGAAGAATTTTGTTTTTGCCATTCTAGATTTTGCCAATTTTCCTTATGCCACTCTAGATTTTGACATTTCACTTTTGCCACTCTTAGTTGTTGACAATTATCACAATTGCCATTCCCGTGGCAAAAGCAAAATTTTCAAAGTGGCAATTTTCATACATTTCAAAAGCTAATAGTGTCAAAAAAAGAAATAAAATTATTTTGCTTTTGCCACGGAATGGCAGTTGTGATAATTGTCAAAAGCTAAGAGTGGCAAAAGTGAAATGTCAAAATCTAGAGTGGCAAAAAATTTCCCCGCTTCTTCTTTTGATAATTTCGACAGTCAAATTTTAAAATTTCAAAAAATTCTGAGAACATTTCCACATATACATAGGATTTATTCTCTATGTGTATAAAGTTTCATGATAAAACCCTTTAACACGTGAGCTAAAAATATTCGTGGAGGTTAAAAATCCACAAATTTGTTTTTTTGTGTGTTAGCCCACACGTTAAAATATCTCATCTCGAACTTGCACTGTTCACTGTTAAACCACTTTTTTTTGTACCTCACATGTTAAGTATCTCATCACGAAACTTGATAAAAATTTCAAACATTCATTTTGTTTCTCCCTTCTTCCATAAGGAAAGAACAAAGGAGTGAGGGAAATCTTAGGATTTTTTTTTGTTCAGTTGGAGGTAAGGCCGGGTTCACTTCCGAACTTGGCCTATATGTCCGTTCAATTTATGTCAATTATCCAATCTAACCCAAGCTACACTAAGGTTAATTAGTTTTCTAAGTGTTCTTGTTTAGCAGTTGGATGAATTTACCCCTTTCAAATGATAGGAGGTGTGTGTCCATGGCTGAGATGCGGAAGGAGCCCATGGTTTCCCAAGTCATTGCTATATCAGCATCCGGTGTGGCAAAAATAAAAAAGAACCATTATAGAAGGTTATTTGCACTGAATTACTAGCGTCACCGCATGGAAAGTTTCTAAATAGTACTATAAAATAATCCCTCTATTCACTATTATAAGATGTTTTGGATATTTCAATATGCACTGCATACGGACTGAAAGGAGTGAACGAAGACACTAAAATGTGTCTATATACATCCGATTCAGAAAAAAGTTGGAACATCTTATAATAGTGAGCAAAGGGATTATTATATTCTTAAAAATTGCATCAGTCACAGTAAAAGCACACATAATTATATAAAATAAAGCTTTTATCTGGGGATTGCCCATAGTTCTTACTTCATCAACATCACTATAACCTTTTCGTCCGGTCAGTATCTCTGTGATTATTACTCCAAGACTGTACAAGTCATATTTATGTGTAATTATGCGGTCGCCGAATTCTGGTGCTAGATATCCACTGCATGAAAAGGTGCAAGATGATCAATTAATGTGCAGAGATAGTGCATGTAAATCATCACTAGCAAGAAAGGCTGAGTTTTCAAGTAGCTTAGCTAGCTTACAGGCTTCCAGCAAATGTTGTAGCAATAGTGCGGGTTTGCTCTTCCTGAAAGCACCTCGATAGGCCAAAGTCACCAATTTTCGGCACCATTTTAGCATCCATGAGGATATTTGCCGGCTTAAGATCAAGGTGAACAATATCATTTCTGTGAAGGTAATCCAATCCTTGGCAGATTCCTTTTATTATTTTGTAGCGGTCTCTCCATTCAAGTCCACTGGACGCATCTACATAAATTGGACACAAGAAAGGTGGTTTAGTATCTGGAATGAAGTCCTTGATATTCAAACTGTAGTTAGTACATGACATGGAATGTAAAACTGTGTATGAATGTTCATGAACCAAATAATCTTTAGCAAGGAAAAAAATTGTGGCCCTACCGGAGATATAGTTGGAAAGATCCCCCTTGGGTAGAAACTCAAAGCAGAGTAATCTTTCTTGTATGTCAGCCATGACAAAATTTCCTTCATGCGTGGCTACTTGACCTTGTGTGTCGCAGCAATATCCTAAAAATCGTACAACATTTCTGTGCTTCACCTTCATCAGACATTGAATCTCCGTCTGGAATTTATTCTCATACAAATACGTGTTGGACAGCTTCTTCACAGCGACCATGCCATTGTCAAGGATTCCCTATGGTCCAAGCATGCCTTGCCACTTCTTAGATTAACTGACTGGGACTAAGGCAAGTAAGACCGGGGCAGTTTTGAATTTCCTTACCTGATAAACCACCGCGAATCCGCCACGTCCAATTTCATGGTCAGCGGAGAAACTCTTTGTGATGTCTTCGAGGAGTGGCAGCGGTAGAGCCCTCGGCTCTTTGGTTTCATCCAACAGCATACACTCCAGGTCGATTCGCGCACTAGCTTGGCGATCCATTGCCGATTAGATAACCATACCCCTGAAACAAGAGCAGCTCTTGAGTCTGCGGGTGCCCTCGAAACAAGAGCGCGAGAACGTTTTCATTTCATACAAAACATGATTATAGGTCGGTGCTTGCTCTTCCGTTTTGCGAACAGAAGAAAAACTATCTTCTCGGGAAGAGAAAACGGGAATTACCTGGAGGCTGCTACCACTGTACAGAAAGTACAGTAACGCTTCTTCCCTTCCCTCTCAGTAAAGAAAGAAGCAGAATTCGCCTGGAGAAGCCCGGCTGTGTAGCTAGTGATGAAGACGGGTTTCAGATCGATGTTATCCGCAGCTGGGAGACGGACGGGCCATCTAACGAAACTATCAAACGGAGGAGACAGATCTGCATCTACCTGCCTACATCCTGCTTCCAAACAACTAACCCACCCGCTGTACAATTAATTATTATTATGTGAGATCTTAGATTACCTAGATGAGTGTTTGCTCAAATTTCAAGCAAAAAAGCTAGATGAGTGTTTGCTTATCATTTAGTTCACGATAGACATGTCTATGTGTGACGCACTGAACCGCATTATTATCTTCACAATCTTTTTCTTTCTTTTTGGAAAGCCCCGAATTGCTGAGATGCTTTCTGTCGGTCCGGCATTCTTTAATGCTCCACCAAACCGAGGAAAGAGATGAGAGTCCTTCTTGAATAGGAGTACATCAAATCTGATTTGATTCG